CCCGTCATTATCGCTTGCCAACGGAGACAATAATGTTTTGGCGTGTGTCTATCTGTCTGTAGCTTTGGCAAAAGTAGTTAGAAGGAAAGTAATTATTGGTTGTACGCCTACAACGGATTAACTTTTGACGTCAATACAAGAGCTGCAGCTTATCAACAATATCCAAACAAAAATGACCATAACACAGTCTGTTTTATGGATAATGAGCTAAAGTTTGATGTGGTTGTAGCTGAAAGTCATCTGAGTATCATTTATTGCATTAGAATTAAAATAATGTTGTTTTCTTGGTTTGATCAAAACAGCTACAACTCAGTTTAAAGTACCTGTAAACAGGAAATAAATGCAGGAATTTTTAGCTTCCAAGAGATGTTCAAATAAAACAAATTGTATTTCTTGGATTGTAGTTGTATCATTCGAAACAGAAAATCTTTAAGTTGTATTTTGCGAAGTGTCATTATTGAACCTTTTTTATTTATTTATTTCACAGTCACGCCTTCAGATCTATGATTTGACATCTTCGGTCCTGTGCTTGCCCTCCGACGTCCCGGAGGGGGGCTTCCCGAATCGCATCCCAATGGTGATGAGGGGCAACTGCACTTTCTATGAAAAGGTTCGCCTGGCCCAGATTAACGGTGCCAAGGGCCTGCTCATTGTCAGTAAGGAAAGGCTGGTAAGATTTTATAACGTGCTTCAAAAATAAACTCATTTTGGTTTATCTCAACTGAAAAAAAAGTTGTTGTTAGACTCCACCAGCAGGGAACAAGACTCAGTACGAAGAGATCGACATTCCCGTAGCACTGCTGAGCTACTCTGATTCGTTGGACATAAGCAAGGTGAGAAATCTGATGCCATTTCACCAGTGTTTTTTTTTTTTTTTAACTGAATTCATAACCCAAACACTGTCCTAACGTTTCTTATTTTACCAGACCTTTGGAGAAGGAAGTCTTGTTGCCATGTACGCACCCAATGAGCCCGTGTTAGACTATAACATGGTGATAATCTTCTTGATGGCGGTGGGAACCGTAGCCATCGGAGGCTACTGGGCCGGCAGCAGTGACAGCAAAAAGTGAGTGATTTAAAAATAGAAACATTTGACTTTCAAAGTCAAATAAGAAAGTGCAGCTTTACACAAAAATGTGTCATTTCCCTGCAAATAACAATAAAACATATTCAGTTTTTCTTCTGCTTATGCACTTTCAGCTCCAGCTGCTAATTTTAGATCAGAGTTAAACATCACAGGATTTATGAGATGCATCTTCAGAGAAAATCTGTCATTTACTTGGTGAACAAGCCTATGATTAAACTGATTTTTGTGTGTGAGATGGTGTGCATGTTTCCTTTTTTACAAACCAAGTAGTCTGTGCTGTGTGGTTGCAGCTCTATGAAAAGACAGCGCTGCTTATTTGAGGCCGTGTAAGTGACTCAACACCAGTCCGAGCTCATTCTTTCTGACTGCGTTACCAAGGTGACTGGGTACCCTTTAAGGGGGGTTTCTGATGCACAAGACCCCAAAAGTAAATAATAAATAAACAATTAAACAAATGAATATCAGGACAGTCATCCTGAATTCTACTTTCAACTAGAAAAAAATTAAGCAGTCGTAAATAGATAGGAACGCGAGCTAAGATTAGCAAAGTGGTATCCTCAAATTAAAAATAAATGAACAAAGCAGTAAGTAAAAGCTAAAATCAGAAAAACCGTATAGAAAATTAGAAAACAGTAGTTTAAAGCTAAATGATTCATAAAAAATACCTTCATAAAAATGGAGCTAGTATGCCGAAGCACATTTGAAAGAGTTGAAGAGCTTTCAAGATGGGGAACAATTTTGTAAATAAACTAAATATGTTGAAAAGTATGAAAGTCACAGATACTAAAAGTTATGGTACACTGTCACCAATCAAGATGTGCTGATAAATGAATGGTTAAAAAAAGAAGCACAAACTGAAGAAGTAGTTTCATTGCAACACTATAAAAAGGAAACCTTAATGTTTTCAGTCAAAATCTGTAATGAAATAAACACAGAAAGACTAAATCAGAGTTCTGTATTCTTCAGTGTTTGCTCCTTTTGTTTCTCCTGCAGACGTTACATGAAGCATAAGCGGGACGACGGTGCGGACAAGCAGGACGAGGAGACGGTGGACGTCACCCCCATCATGATCTGTGTGTTCGTGGTCATGTGCTGCAACATGCTGGTGCTCCTTTACTTTTTCTACGACCACCTGGGTACGACACAGACACTCGCACATCAAAGTTCAAGTGCTCAATGGGCGTACGTCTACAGCTCGATTCAAGATGGCCACCACAACCAACTTGTCTTGGCAAACACAAAAATGGTTGTAACTCATAATTTTGCAGATAATGAGCTCAAATTTTCTGAGATTATCAGCTGTCACTTATGGCGCTTTGCCACTGTCTCAACTCTCATGGGTTCTGCACCAGTTAGGGTCCTGCCCCCTGCTGGTACCCACCCCCACTCAGCGCAGCTTATGGAATCATCTTGTTTAAGGTTCCAAGTGGACTTCTCCAAGGTACCGATTTTGACATAAGCAGACGGCAGCTGTTGATTGGCCATTGAGTTACGTCACTGGTAGGCCTGTCGCAATAAACAATAAATCAATTAATTGCACGATAAATGAAAATTATCGACCTCATTTTCATTTATAGGCTTTATTGTTTCTTTGTCTCTTTCCACTGAAGACATCGGATGACAAAAGGTTCAACTCCGGTGCTCTTCACTGATTCCCCCCTTTCTCTTTTCTCTTTAAAATCTGTTTTAACCGTCCAAAATTATGTTTTTGGATCGTTAAAAGCAGCTAAGCTGAGAAGCTAAGCTAACAGGCTGACCTCTGGAAAAACCTCAGTCTTGTCGAAGCTCCAAAATTCACAGTTGAAACCCGTGCCTTTTGTGTAAAAAAAATATTTTTCACTGCAAAAAGAAGCTGAGAACTTGTTTACTGATTTTTTTTTAATTAAAAACTTTGTGTGACAAATGCTATGCTAAAGAGCTCAAACCACACCGAGCGTCTGCCATTTTGAGAACCGAAGAAAGGAAGGAGAGACAGCCCATGTCACATCAAGGGGCCTTCCTCATGCTGCTCACTCCCTCACTGTCCATCCTTCGGTTCAAACAGTCTTATACTGCCATCCGGTGGTCGAAAAAAGTACTACACACAAAACAAATTAACCAACATTTCTTCTTAAATTTGACAATAATGATTAATTATTGTCAAATTTCAAACAATATTATCACTTATCGCAATAATTTCTGAGACAATTAATCGCCCAGCAGAATTTGTTATCGTGACAGGCCTAGTCACTGGATGACCCAGCCAGCAAAACTGCAAACTAATCTGAACCTCCTCTTCCTCTCTGATCGTGTTGACGGACGACCCCATAAGAAATGAGCATATTTACAGAGAGATGTCAGAGATGATGGTGCAGCACGGCCACACGTGGACTTATGAGCAGTGCCGGGATAAGCTAAAGAAATTGATGTCCACTTTACAGAGTGATTAAGGACCACATCGGCCGAGTGGCTCGAACACAATGACCAGTTATGACACCGCCCACTTTGCATTGATGATCTTGCTCACAGAGTGGGGAAACAAGTTACAGTGGCAAATCACCTACAGTACACCCGAGAAGAACGATAAATGGTAAATGGGCTGTGCTTATACAGCTCCTTTCTATCTTATAAAGATACTCACAACGCTTTACAATCTATGCCATAATTTACACATTCATGCAGCACTCTGCTATGTCTATACAAGACTCACCAGTGCTTTATCACATTCATACACCGATGGGACACACATCGGAGGCAACGAGGCGTTCAGCGTCTTGCCCAAGGACACTTCAGCATGAGACTACTGGTGGAATCGAACCCCCAGCTCTCCCATTGGAGGAAAACTGCTCTAACCACTCAGCCACATCTGCCCCAAGATGAGCCGAGAGCCGAGTGGAGTCGATCTCATGCTGACTCTGATCATTAACATTTCACATTTATATATTTGTTTAAAACTTTAACATGCAAGCGTAGCAGGAAATATCTATTCCTTTAATAAATAAATGCAGTTTAATTTTCTTTGAAAGACTGTCCGATTTCTCTGTTATAAAAAGTATACGGAGCTTAAAATAAAAGTAACGATGAAAGAAACGAGTCAAGTGTTTTTACCTGAGCAAATTTGTTTAAGTAAAGTTTTATAGCCTCTCCGTTTAGCAGCCAACTGGAAACAGACCAACTGTTTCTAGCATTACAGGGCAGTTTAACCTTTTTAAATGTAAAAACGGGCAGCACTAAAAAGAAGCCAAAATGGTCATATAAAGTTTCGCCCAGCTCACCGAACACCGACCCACACATCAGTGAAAGTAATGCTCCTTTTAATTCTTTATTTCTTGTCAAACGTTTAAAAATTTCCACAAAACCATAAACAAATTTAAAAACGTAAATATTGCCACTAAAATATTCTGGAAACAAAACAAAAATGTTCAAAAAGGGAGCAGGAAGAATAAATGGCTTATCCAGTCCTGTCCCTAAATTTACATACAAATTCTGAACCAAACCAGTTTCGTAAAAATATTAAGAACACAAAAACACAAATATAGACTGAAAAAAACGTGTATGTAGTGTAGGTAGACGTACAAGCTTATTATACCTTCTCTATATTAATATATAAGACATCAAAATGAAAGCAGCAGAATTTTTCCTATATAATTGTCTAAAACATATCAAGGAATTCCAGCTAAACTGATAGACAAACTTATATTAAAAAAACATAAAAAAAGGAAAAAGATTAAAAAAAAACCTGTCAAACCTTATTATATTTGTTTATTAAATGATTTTATACATTTTTTTTAATTTAAAGAGTGAAAAGCACAGTTGTAACTCCTTACAACAACTATTCCACACCTGAATCCCTCTAACTGAAGTACAGTTGTTTTTAATATTTGTCCTAACCTTTGTTTTTTAAATAAATCCTCTTAAATCATAGTTTTTCCATTTAATTTTGAACCACTTTTGTATACACCTGGGAAGGAGTTTATTATAGGCTTTGTACATAATCACTGCTGTTCTGAGTTCTACTAAGTTATAACATTTTCAAATATTCAATGTAAGAAATATGTCTTTAGTTGGGTGAAAGTAATCGGACGCAGTTATAATTCAGATAGCTTTTCTTCTGGAGCATGTAGACCGGGTTTGTGTTGGTTTTATACGAGTTTCCCCAGATCTCAACACATTAATTCATGTATGGAAGTATGAGACAACATTATAGCATGTAAAGTGATTTCTTATTTAGAAGACGTTTTATTTTATTCAGCACTGCAATAGTTTTTGACATTTTGGCTTTTTACATGATCAATATGAGCCTTCCAATTCAATTTATAATCTGCTTCTTTATAATCTTTTGATTTATTTAGGAATTATTACCAGCCTAAAAATGTTGTTTTCTTCAATCAAAATGACTAAAGTATCACATCCTGGCATAAGGTCGCCTGCTAACTTCTGCTGTTTCTCCTTGTTCAGCCCTTTGGGTCATCGGGATCTTCTGTGTGGCCTCCTCTGTCGGCCTCCACAGCTGCCTGTGGCCGTTTGTCAGGAGAATTCCTTTCTGCAAGTGCAGGTGAGACTCCTCACATTGACAACACGTTCTCTGATCATGCTCCCTGTGTATGTTTTAGAACGACACAGTTTAGTTTTGTAGCTAATCGATGCAACTTCTAAAGCAGGCTCGATGGCTAGAAATGCTCTGTCAAAGAAACCAGCGTAAACGGTTGAGTTGACATGGCTGTGACTGTTACACCGACTGACACGTGAACCCTTTATAACAACAGGATCCCTGAGAACAACCTGCCGTACCTCCACAAGCGGCCACAGATCCGCATGCTGCTGCTGTCGGCGCTCTGCATCGGCGTCAGCATCATCTGGATGGTGTTTCGCAACGAAGACCAGTGAGTTCGGCGTGACCCAAGTGTCAAATCATTCCCCTGCTATTATACAGATGTGTTTGTTGGTACTCTTAGAGCTCATTGAAACAGTGTTTCATTTATCTGGAGAAGCGATTGTCTAATTTTACGCCTTTAGTAGAAAATAAATGATTTAGTTGTTTATTTGAGGTAATTATTCTAGATTGGTTAATATTCTTAAAGAGACAAATCTCTGCATTAGTCATGTTTCTAACTATGTTTGACCTTAATTATCCTCACAAGTTCCTTCAAGCTTTTCATCAGCTATTCAGCTGATTTAAAGGGAACAGCCACGGGTAGTTTGGTATCGTTGAGTGCACCACAGTGAACACAAAGGCAAGAACTGTCTTAGGAGCTCAAAGAAGATTCTAGATGTCCATGTTAAAGGTGAAGACTACAGGACCATCTCCAAGCAGCTTCATGTTCCTGTGATCACAGTTGCCATTATTATTAAAAAGCATAAGGTTCTTGGGTCTATAGACAGCCTCCCAGGATGTGGACGCAAGAGAAAATGCGACCCCAGGTTGATTAGTCGGATAGCGCGAATGGCAGAACACCACAAAAACTCCAGATAGAAATTCACCAAAATGGATAATAGGCCCAAAGTTTCTTGGACTGATGAGACAAACCTAAAGCTTTTTGGCTTTCGTCACATTAATTGTGTTTTTGGTTATTAAAGGGTTCCACCAATTTTATCCACGTCTGGACTTGCTGTAAGCAGCAAATTCACTTGTATTTTGTTAAAGATTGAGCACTTTTCCTGAGGAATTTTGCTCTCAGATTGATTATGAGCACTGATCCATACCAGAGCTGGATGGTTACTACGAAGTAAAATAAGGTGCTGAAGTAACGATGTAACTGGTGTCGGCTGACAAATGTTCTTGTTCTGTGTCGTCCAGGTGGGCGTGGGTGTTGCAGGACGCCCTGGGGATTACCTTCTGTCTCTACATGCTCAAAACAGTCCGATTGTCCACATTCAAGGTGCTGACTGATATAATAATTAAAAAAAAAAATGTTTTCGAGATGTTTACTCAACCAATAAATTGTAACAAATGTTGTGTTTTTTTCTATAGGCTTGCACTTTACTTCTGTCAGTTCTGTTTGTTTACGATGTTTTCTTCGTATTCATTACACCCTTCTTTACAAAGGTACGAATGAGCACACAGTTATCGTAATGTTATTGCGTTTGCTTTAAATACTTGTGTTTTCTGATTATTTCTTGTTTTGCTCAGAGTGGGGAAAGTATAATGGTGGAGGTAGCGGCAGGTCCCTCTGACTCCGCCACTCATGAAAAGGTGAGCCCCTCAAATCCGCTCCTGCTCCTCCAGGTCCAGTTATTCCTCTCCGATGGGAGGGAAAGCAGCCGCGGTGACTCTGGTGTTTGTGTCTGCAGCTCCCCATGGTGCTCAAGGTGCCGAGGTTAAACTCTTCTCCTCTGGCTCTTTGCGACCGACCCTTCTCCCTCCTGGGCTTTGGAGACATCTTAGTACCAGGTGGGTCATTTTTCCTCGCACTTGTTTCATCCCTTGCACTGCGTTGCCTGCAAGAGTTTCAAAACTGATCTGTGAACCCTCAGAGCATGTGTTGGGGATAACTCACTTACAACTACACCAAATTCCAGCTCAATATCTGTAAAATTGGTTTTAGTGTTGATTTTTAAAAAAAAGTAATTTGGCTGTGGCTGCTACTTTGACTTTAGTTAATATTGTGCTGACAGACGAATGAACACACAGCTCCAGATCAGTGATGATTCAGTCTGTAGGACAAAGCTCAGGCTGTTTGTTGACCTTTGTGCTGACATGAAGATTGTTTTCTTCTTTAGGTCTGCTGGTGGTGTACTGTCACCGATTTGACATTTTAACACAATCCTCTAGGATCTACTTTGTGACCTGTACGATTGGTAAGAGCTCTGTAGTTTGAGTGGTTGTAAATGATGCTGCATTCAAAGGGCTTCACATGGAGACCAGAGTTTACTGCTCAAATTATTTTTCATTCCACTTCTGTTTGGCCGTGTTAACATCTGGGATTAAAACCTGCCTCCATGCACACGTCCAGTACTCTAATCTCATCCGACCATTCCTCATTAGGTGCAGTAAGATATCCTCCCAGACGCTCCTCGTTAGGAGCCACTCTGGTCCAGAAATATATTTGGCTGCAAACTTTCTGTTGTTCGCTGTTACTGTAGAAGAGAAAACCAAACAACACGTTGGATGCACTTGGAGTCAGTTTAGCAACAAATCTGTTTTTATTAATCCAAACGGAAATCTTGCCACTTGGTGAGTAGGTAACATCCATGCTTAAAATGATCTGACAGTCTGGTCTTTGGTTCAGGTTTCAAAAATCACTTCTGTTGAAAAAGGGAATAGTTTAAAGCAGGGTGTCCAAAGTGTGGCCCGGGGGCCGCTTGTGGCCCTTGGAGTGATTTTGTGCGGCCCACATTTGTAGTTTTAAAGATGGTATAATTTTGGCCCATAGGCTTAAGAGATGTATGTGCAAATTTAATGATGATGATTTTTAAAAATAATTTTTAGGTTTAACAGCAAAACGGATTAAAAACTCTCAAAATGAGCAGTATTAAGCCGAATACATTCCTTTGGCAATAAATCAATAAAATCTAATAGATTAAATAAAAAATAATAATAAAAGGTTAATGTTTATGAAGCTTTTAATGTTTTGGATCTGCAACAGTAAAAAGAAAAATAATAATAATAAATGGAAGAATTTAAAAATTCTTCTTCATCAAAATTAGTCAATTTTGTCCCATTCTCCAAAATATTGTTTACGTTGAGTTAAAATAAATCACTAAAATACGTACGCTCATTATTATTAATTATGTATTACTATTAGTATTTTTGTGGCTCGTGTCTCTTTTCATCTTCAAGGTTTTGGCCCACATATGAAAATGTTTGGACACCCCTGGTTTAAAGTATGAGGTCTGAATATAAGGGAGGCCGACTTCCTACAGTTCCTAGTAGAAAATATTTTTACCAACCTTGCGTTCTTGTCTTTTTAAAAGCACATCCAATGTTAACATATTCTTCTGTTTCTGATCCTGACCTCTTTGTCCTCAGCGTACGGGATCGGCCTGCTGATCACCTTCGTGGCTCTGGCCGTGATGCAGATGGGCCAGCCAGCCTTGCTCTACCTAGTGCCTTGCACTCTGATCACCAGCCTCGCCGTAGCGCTGTGGCGCAAGGAGTTGCCCCAGTTCTGGACTGGAAGTGGATTTGTGGTGAATACCAGTTTGATATGACTGCCTACTGCGGAAGAGCAAAAAGACATTTTTTTTTAGCAACAAAAGACTAAAATCAATCTAGCATTGATTAAAAAAAAAAAACATGCAGAGGGAAGTAAAATTTCAAGTTGAGTAAAGCCCTTTATATAATTCCCTCCATTCCATCTGCTTCTGTTTTACTGTCCCCCCCTCCCCTCCTCCCCCTCGCTGCTTCCTTTGTTACTGGCTGTGTAGTCTGCTGCTGAGGGCTCAGCTGCCTGTCAATGTCACTGCAGGTATTCTAACCGGGTTTACACTCCACAATTAAAACACCCTGACCTCACTTACATGTCCTTTCTGTTGTCATCTAAATTAAAACTTCTTGTTTCTGCGTCATTGATCGGTTAGTGATCTATCTTAATCAGACTCGTGGCTTTAGTGGGCTCTCCTGTAAATAATTTCCTCTGACTTGTTTACCTCTGACAACACATAAAGCTCCTTTAGCGTGTGCATTGTGCGAACATAACTGTAAACGTTTGCGTCTGCATACAAGCCCAGTTTTGAAAAAGTTGGGCCTCTGTGTCAAATGTAAATCTTATAAATTCAGATTTTATTCACAATGGAAGGTTGTTTATACATTTATTATGTTTTACTAAGAAACTGCCTTTTTATGCAACACATCTCCAAAACCATGGGACAGTTATATTTACTGCTGTTTACTCTTCTTCCTCGGAACGTCCAAGAACTGAGACCAGGAGGTTTTGGAGGGACTGTTGTCCCGTTCTTGTCTGATGGAGGTCTAGCTGTTCAGCAGTCGTGGTCTTCGCTGGATTCTTTGTTTCATGACGTTCAAATGTATAATGGTGAGCGGTCTGGACTGGAGGCAGGCCAGTTCAGCTTGTTGTTGGAATGGATGCAGTTTAGATTTCTTTCTGAAATGTGCAAGACCTTCCCTGAAAAAGATGTGGTCTGAATAGGAGCATATGTTCTTAAACCTGCTTTTATTTTTTTGTGCATTGATGGTGCCCTTTCAGATGTGAGCTGCTCAGGACATAAGCACTAATGCACCCCCATATCATCAGAGAGGCAGGCTTTTGAACTGTGTGCTGATAACAGGCTGGATGGTGCCTCTCCTCTTTAGTACAAAGAATGTGGCTGTGGTATCTATAAATAAATAAATAAATCAAATTATCTGACCACAGAACATTTCATTTTGCCTCGTTCCATTTTAAACGAATTTTGGACCAAAGAAAATGGCCGTGTCTCTGGATTCTGTCCTGCACAATAGAGCTTTAACCTGCGTTTGTGACTGGCACAGCGGGCTGTGTTTACAGACGGTGATTTGTGGACGTGTCTCTGAGCCCACGCCGTGATGTCAAGAACAGAATCGGACCCGTTTTAATACAGCGAGCGGCCCCTGAGGGCCTGAAGACGACGGGGACGCAACACTGACTTTCAGCCGCGGAACAATTTCTTAGTTTCAACGATTGCTGTATTTACTATTGTGAATAAAATATGAGTTTATGAGATTTGCAAATTATTGTATTTATTAGTTTATTTACGTTTTATCCAACGTTTTCAGAATTGTATTTTTTCAGCTCCTTTTGTTCTGTGATATTTTCAAATGAGACTGTTAAACCCTTTCAAACACTTTACTCTCTGCAGCCTCCCATAGCGCTCACGCCAATCAACTGCACGCAAACCGCAGAGCTACAGCCGCCCCCGCAGGTGCAGGAACCCTCAGCCTAAGAAGCCACAGAGCCCACCCATCAGGGCGAAGACACGCCCGAGCAGCCGCCTCCGGAAACGCCCCTGGAGGAGAAAACCGAAGACCAAACCGACAACTAGTAGATCATTTTCCCCATTTCACTTCATGTTTCAATTCACTTTTCTGCAGCACGTCTGTCGGTGGATGTTTTAAACCCGAAACGTTTAACTTGCACTCGTTGCGAAGGAAAGAGCAGTGGAGGTTTGTTTCTTTAACGACTGAATGAAGGCAAGCGTCCCAGGTTTCAAAGCGAACTCACCTCCTACTAACACCGTTTGCACCACCTGTAAAACAAAAGGTCCACACTACCGAAGCTGAGGCAGGACGTGCTTCCACACTCGAATATTACCATTAAAATGTTAACCAGCATGTTTACGCTGAAGTTTGGAGTTCTGATTTATGGATTTAGAAATGTTTCAAGTTTTGTGCCGTCATAGTATTTACCACCATCTGATGGAGACGTCTGTGTCTCAAAAGGAAATGAAACATTTGTAGGTATAATATCAGAAGGTATTTTGTTAGTATTCTTAAAAAAAATTAAAAGATTGTAAAGAGTTCAGATGATTGGCAGCTTAATGGATGTTGTCATCGAGTGAAAAATATTTAAAAAATACAGTAAATAGGAAAAAAATAAAAAAACTTTGAATGTTTTTGGGCTGAGCAAGTTTGTGATTGGCTCCTCTTCAGTGAGACGGGCCAAAAACCGAGCGATATACTTTGCTGCAAACTGGTGAGACCGAACTTCACCAGTCGACTCGACCATGTCTTCAAACGGGTTCAATTTACAACGAGAGCATCATCAGTCCGAGGCAGCTGCTGTCTGAACTCGTGGCTTTCTCGTGTAATTCTGAAAACTTCAGACACTGAATTTGAATTATTTTTACACCGTTACTGACATTTTTTAAATTTAGATTGTAGCCTCGTGTTCAAAGACTTGCGTGGATTTCCTACTGAAACATGGCGTACGCTTAAATCGAGAAAACGGCGTACGCACAAATAAATCCAAATGTATGAAACCGTTCGTACGCATGAAACCAAGCACACTTCCTTTGACGTCCCAATCAATGTGGAACTGAGCGTGCATCAGCCAGTACCCAACTTCTCCCTTGACACTTCTCCATTTAAATATGTACCGTATTTTTCAGACTATAAGGAGCACTTAAAATCCTTTAATTGTCTCACAAATCAACAGTGAACCTTATGATCCGGTGCGCCTTATGTATTAATTCTGGTTGTGCTTAGTGACCTTCAACTGATTTTATGTGGTACTGTACACAGAGCTAAAAAAAAAAAATGTCAAAATTAACTTGTTTTGCTTAATGCGCCTTATAATCTGGTGCGCTTTATAGTCTGCAAAATACTGTAAATAGATTTAAATATGCCCTGCACCAGCCGAGTCTCTCACGCTGTTCTCTGGCATTAGCGCCGAGCGCAAAAGGAGTGAGTGGGACAATGTACGGAAAGCTGTAAATGCTGTGGGCTCAGAAGAACAGCGCACACCTGCAGACATCAAGGAAAAATGGTCCGACGTTAAGGTGCATGTGAAGCGGAGGACGACTCCATCACCACTTACATGGACTACACTGTTGTTGTAAATTAATGCAGGAGTGCACTAGAGAAAGGGTGAGGCATTTCACACTTTGTGCATGTGTTTATTGGCATTACTATGCACACAGAAACAATCTGGGGCTTGGAAGATCACTCTGAAACCAGTTTAACCAGCAAAAAACAGGAAGTCACCCACTTGAACCTCGGACTTGTAATGATACAAAGAAGACAGGATGATACATGGGGGTGCACAGGCTCCGTTTGCATCAAGGAGATCAATATTAATATGATTAAATGAATTTACTCACCACAAAGCCACCCATCCCACCCCACGCCAACCATGCTGTTCATTAGAATGAACAAGTTGAGCGTTGAACCAGGACACCTCGCCACAGTGTTGGTTAGTTGCTTTTGCCCATCACACATGATTTGCACATTGGTTGACTGGAAATTCTTCCTGTTTACATAAACGTGTTCATCCTGTGCTGGTGCTTTTATAGCACTGTGTTCAGTCGATAGCTTTGAGTTCATTAAGAAAACCTGCTGTCGCTGCAAATTGTGCTTTGATGTTTGCGTGTTCAGCTGCGTTGTAGAGAATTTGATGTACCTGACTGATATATGGATAATTCCATCCCACACAGCTGGCGTGGCTCGGCTCAGGGTGGACTGGCACAGTCCCAATCGGACTGCCAGCTCCCTTTGGAATGCCCCTGTTGCTATAGGAACCCCACTGTGGTCATCAGCTGTATGTGCACGGGCAGCGCACGGCTCCTCGCTGTGTCACGCTCAAAGCACTGTTCAAAAAGTATTGGCCTTGGAAATCTAAAACGGCTGATGAGCCAGTTGTCGTCATGGGCCAGGAAATCGTCTCCGTCTCTAAATACCATATTTTCCGCCCTATAAGTCGCATCAGTCCAAATATGTCTAATAAAGTGGGAAAATGCATAAATACGTCGCTTCGCCGTATAAGTCGCATCTATTATGCGTCACCGCTGACAACCCAGAAATGTGGGCCGGTGTTGTGCCAAAAATCAATTAGCTGCCAAATGGCAGCCGCAGGAGCGTGCACGGGAGGACGTTGACTAGAATTTAACAAGATTAACACTTAAAAACAATTATTTGTTTGCTCGACTTTATAGTAAATGTTTGTCTCAGTTGAACTTTTACTTAATAAATGCACTTCAATGGTCAAATCAGCTGCATTTCTCCGGTGTGTCGCAACGAAATGCAGCTTATTTGACGGTTGCTCCAGGCGAGCTGGACGAAGGCAGACTGTGGCGAGCCAATTGTGTCATTAGCAGCCACTTTTACCTATTACATGACACAACGGCATGCCATACAACTCTGGTGCCATTTAGCGGCTGAAAAATGGTACTGTTCAATATTTTCATTCAGATTGAATGAAAATGGTCATATCTCAGCCAAAAATTGGTTTAAATATGGGAAAAAAATCCATAAATGTGTCGCTTCAGCGTATAAGTTGCAGGGCATGCAATAAAACTGCAACTTATACAGCAAAAAGTACGATACACGCTCTGCGTTTTGTGCCATTTGCTATATCTTCTAATAAGGCTAAAGCCGTTGTTGTTAAAGGCGTTTTCTGCAGCGTTTTGTGCAGCTTTTATATCCACTCATCTAATTTCATACACGTGACTGTATTTATTGTTCATCATGCATGTCTGCTGTGTACAATAACAGTTTTCACGTCATTGAGCCCAGCATCACCTCTTTAAGTGTCACCAATGGACCAGTAACCATAGAAACGTGTACACCAGCCATGAAGTTGGCGTGGGGCTGCGCACATTTCCACGGTCATTTCGTCCACGATACGTCTGAAGTTTTGCGTGAAAAAGGGCGTACGCCACGTTTTTGTGCGTGCGCACTCTTTGTACATGAGGCCGCTGATGAGTTTAATCTTTCAAATCCGATGCTGTCATGGTTGTCAACTGAGCCTATCTTTATTTTTTAATTTTTTTTTTTAATTTTCTCCACAGAACCATCCATCTGTTAACAATGCTTTTGTTGCATTTTCTTTTGCATGCTGTGGTTTTAAGTTTTCCCTTACTCCTCAGTGTTTTTGACCTAAAAGGCCAGATTTGATGCGGTGAAAGTTAATACATTACAACGGTTTCTCTATATTCACTAATAATTGTCTTAAGCGTTGGTTTTTTTTGGCCTTACTGTGTCTGTAGCGGGAGTCGCTGTAGAATGTGTCGTGTTTAAAAAAGGCTTTATGAAAACCAACCGTACTGTACTTCAAATGTGCTGCAGTTTTATGAGGAGCGTGTTTTTGTTACCGATGTTATTCGAGTTTGTAAAAGACATTTGCACATTCTTTTTATTTTTATGTTTTTATTCCATGACATGTTTTGGTCATGATTTTGTGTTCGTCTGTTATTGCAAAGGTTTCAGGAGGTGAAAACTGCTGTAGTAATCCAATTATTCAGTATTCTGTCATTCTGCGAGCCAATTTCTGACCTGAGGACACGTTGAACTCCAGAACCCAGCAGTCGGTGGAGACCTCCTCCTTCTCCTTCTGGGTCCTTCATGATCCAGGCTAACCATCGTTTTGTGTACGAGAGGTAAAAATCTAAACGTGTATTGGCAGCTGAACTGTCTGAATGTGATCTTTGGCTGATTTATGATCAGTTTTCCAGGACACTACTCATAGTTTATAATTTTTAAGTTCGTCATGACCAGCTGTTTTTAATGCCTCTGAGGATTACAAATAATAAAGAAACATTGTATTTGATATTGGATTCTGTTTTTCTTTAACCACTACACCGAAGTTCAAGCCTGCAAGAGATAGAGATAGATATAGATATAGATATAGAGAGATAGATATACAGTGGGGCAAAAAAGTATTTAGTCAGCCACAGATTGTGCAAGTTCTCCTACTTAGAAAAATGAGAGAAGTCTAATTTTCATCATAGGTTCACTTCAACTATGAGAGACTAAATGAAAAAATCCAGGAAATCACATTTAAAAAAATCCTACAAAGACTTTATTTATAAATTATGGTGGAAAATAAGTATTTGGTTAATAACAAACAAGATTTCTGGCTCTCACAGACCTGTAACTTCTTTAAGACGCTCTTCTGTCCTCCACTCGTTACCTGTATTAATGGACCAGTTTGACCTTGTTATCTTTATAGAAGACACCTGTCCACAGCCTCAAACAGTCAGTCTCCTAACTCAACCATGGCCAAAACCAAAGATCTGTTGAAGGACACCAGGAAGAAAATTGTAGACTTGCACCAGACTGGGAAGAGTTAATCTAGAATAGACAAGCAGGTTGGTGTGAATAAATCAACTGTGAGAGCAACTAAGAAAATGGAAGACATACAAGACCATTGATAATCTGCCTCGAGCTGGGGCCCCACGCAAGATCTCATCCCGTGGGGTCAAAATGATCATGAGAACAGTCCCAGAACTACACAGAGGGACCTGATGAACGACCTGAAGAGAGCTGGGACCAAAGTAACAAAGGCCACTAAGCCAAGGACTCAAATCCTGCAATGCCAGGCGTGTCCCCCTGCTTAAACCAGTGCATGTCCAGGCCCGTCTGAAGTTTGCCTAGAGAGCATATGGATGATTCAGAAGAGGACTGGGAGAAGATCATGTGGTCAGATGAAACCAAAA